GTGCATGAATGGCATCATAGGTGGTTACGTTCTAATTATAAGTGGAATTTCTACCTATTTTTAATGGTTTGCTCCTGAATTAGTCCATTTGAGAGGATTGAACCCTAAAACAATCTTAGCCCTGCACCTTTATTCACAACTTGAGATGAGGCCTATGTGGTGCACCTCAACTGATCTGTTGCCAACCCCAGAAACATGTCCAGCATGGTATTTACCTCTTTTTTTTTTCCTTTTTTTTTTCTGTCATAGGACATGGTATGCCAATATTTGATGGCATTTGTTATTTATGTTGCAAGTTACAACTCACACACAAAAGTCACAAACATAATTCTCTGGTCCTAAACATGTTTATTTAACTCAACTTGTAAAATGCAGTATTCGTCATATTACAGCAGAGGTTGGAGCAGCTGTTCTGCGAGCCGCTGTTAGTGAAGAATTGGCAGAAGGACATGGTGATGTGGGGCCCAAAGAGCTCATGCACATGTCAAAAGTATGAAACTTCTTGCCTTCTAACTTTTTTCCACTAAACAGTGAACTCCATGCTCTTCTACTCTAAAACAGTAAATTTTTATTTGCCTAAGTATGATTATGAAAGGAAAATATAAAAAATTTGTTGTTTAAAAGAAACTCAAATCTCACCTGAAATGTGCAAATATAGTGGTAAAAATACCATTATCATAACCCAAACTGAGCTTAGAATGTTGAAGTGTTTATTATTATTATTATTATTATTATTATTAAATAGCGGGTGTTCATTATGTAATAAATGTCGGCGATGTTTGTCAGATTTGATGATCTATGAATATTTGGGTTGTAAATATATAATTTTTGATGCAGGATGAGACGGTTGAATATGTCACTCGCAATATGTGGTACCCTGTTTACAGCCCCCTAGTTCACGAGAAGTAGATTAACAATTATTTTTTTCAACCTTGGAGGCTACATCTATGGGCCGTAACCAGTGCTCCAGAATGAATTGCAAATTCACTTTTTATCAATTTCCTTTGTATGATTTAATGACATCCTTACATGCTAGTATATTCTAGAAACACTGACATGCTCATCCTATTAACAATTTTATTGCGTGGAAGAAAAGATGGATCCACTGAAGACGAACCCGCTTGGATTGAATTTTTTTGATAGTGCTCATTTTTTAAGTTAATTTTCAATAATGGAGGGTTGTGAATTGTGATGTTCATTTTGTCCCTTGAGATTATTAGTCTTTATGTGGATTCATGGATACGCATTCCATCAATTACCGGGCTGAGGATTTATTTGTTGTATTTTATGGACCGCAGCCACTACTCCAGATGAATTGCAAATTCATTTTTCTTTTTTTGATCAATTTCCTTTGTATGATTTAATAATACACTTACATACCAATAATATATTTGCCTATGTAGAAGAAATTAGATTTTTTTAAAATAAATTCTTTAATTTAAGCTTTCTTTTTACGTAGTATCACGCGATTTGATGTTAAATTAATCGAGATTTAAAATTATTTTCTAATACTAAGAGTTAATATATATAAACATCCTCACATGCTAGTATATTCTGGAAGGTCATCCCATCAACAACTTGCTGCGGGGAACAAAGATGGATCTATCAAAATATTAAATTGATGGTGAAGACGAACCCGCTTGGATTGAATTTTTCTGTGGCACTCATTTTTTAAGTTAATTTTCAATAATGAAGGGTTGGGAGTTGTGATGTTTATTTTGTCCATAGAGACTAGCCTCTGTGTATTCGTTTTCCATCAATCACCGAGCTAAGGGTTTATTTGTTGTATATTACCAAAGTCAAAGAACCCTTCTGAAAATCATCCACTCGTGCAATGTGAGTGGGCAGATATTCAATCTTGCATTATTTATTTGTTAGCCTTCTTGTCCCGTTGCTTTTGGAATTCGTCAACCAAGGGTTGTGTTACGTAAGAGCTGATTTAATAATTAAAAATTAAAAATTAAAAATTAAAAATTTAAATTTTGAGTTAAATAAAAAAAATTAAAAAAAAAGATTGTATAACCCTTTATTATCAAATATACTAAAAAAAAAAGTTAGTAAAACTAAGGGTGCATTTGGTTGGGAGAAGTTATGTATTTTCACATTTTAATAT